TCAGAGTGCATAAAAACATCCATTACTAGCACCATAACATCCGTTGGGAACCACTGAAAACAGCGATTTCTGGTCGATGATGGAAGCAATTGGGCAGGAAAGCAGGGGTTACGACGACATCCTCCATCATCACCTAGGTGTTATCAATCAAATAAAACACATTCCACAGAGAAGGCCGGTTTGAACAGTTCTGGAGGCCTTCCTGACAGGGTTTTTGAGAGCAGAACTCTATATTCGAGCAGACAAACAGACTAACCAGGGAACTGGCCAGCTATTTATTCAAGAAAAATATTCTAAGGCGATTTGAATTCTAATCAAATCGCCCGCTTAATCCGTAGCGATGCCGGAACCTCGTCTATTTTGACTATCTGACAGTAACAACAACGGATTCGAAGCGATTTCTGACGTCCACGGATCCTCTCCGTTCCCAACACGGCCGTGGGCGAAGTCAAGATAGGCACTGATCGGGGCTATTAGAGGCCAAATAATCTGAGGATCTACCAAATCTTTNTTTAACAACGGATTCGTTAGGAATCGTAAAAGAGACACTGGATAATCTACATGGTGGGCAGAACGAGTTTCTGTGTAGGCCAAACAAATCCAAGTCTCAAACCGCGGGGATAACGAATGGATGTAAAGTGCATGACGCAATCTTAAAACGATCAACACGAATCGAGGAGGTCCAATTCCTTTTACTCCTATCTACTATTTTCTCCGATCGCCCACATATGAACACTAGGAACCCTACTCGGAAGAAATGGAGCGAATTGGGACTCTGAGCGGAAGCACCATAACAGAAAAGGATTCAGGCAAAGCCTCGCCCTAGGGACGAAAAATCGGTAGTAAGTGCTTTTAGTGAGGTATATCAGTTGCAGTTAAAAGGAATGGGTCCTATTGAGGCCGGTTCCGAACCAAATACGAATTTATAGGCACCTAGGACTTTGAGAGAATGTCGCAAGCATGGCGTATCCCGAGTAGATCAGTTGATTGAGCATGATACTTGAGAAGACTATTCAATATTACATAATAGAAGAAATGAAGGGTCCGTTTACGGCCGGGAAGTAGTGGATGACGTATAAAACGAAGAACGAAAACTGAGAATCGTTTCTCGTCATTCAATACCCTTAGGAGCTGGCACCGGCGAGAACAGGTGGGTGTTTGCCGGATATCCGCCGGCTGCATACCGGTTCTAAAGTTTAGCTAAGCCACAAAGTACTTCTACCAATACATTAGTTCTACAGTTTTTCTCACCTTCAACCCTTTTCCAATTTTTTGTTTGTTGGAGAGATAAGCATTGGGAGGTAAGGAGAATTAGTTCGAAAGATTGAGAAAATCGATAAAATCGATAAAACCATCGTCTGATGATTTGATATCATTACTCATAATCATGATCATTCGTCATTATCGTCACTAGAGGTTGACGATGCTTCAAAGAGGAAGATATGTAGTGAGCTTCTCAAGCAAATTTTCCGCCCTGCACTTGCCAACCTTTCGGAATGATGACAGTAGACTGTAGTCCTTCCCGCAGTACCACTTCCCAGCAGTTGGCCAGGGCTCATCCGTTCCCAATCTCATCACGACCAGCTCCCATGATCGGGAGCTTCAAACTCCTCAAGCAGCTTTGCTTTCATCTGCAGAGGGCTAGAGTAGACTGTAGTTCTCACCGTAATAGCACTATTCAGTAACCTTCCTTTGTAATGCTACCCACGATATAGATTTCATGAATATGAACCCCAGAGTCCCCAAACAGCCCTCTTTCATGCATCCAGTAACATTCACGTGGAAAACGTAAGGACGTTCTGGGCAAAATATTTACTGGCAAGAGCTAAGTGCCCTATGCGCTTCACGTGAAGTACTCAGCTCACCACTAAATATATTTCCCAAAAAGTGCTCACGAAGTAAACAGAGCGGGAGGCATTCGATTTTGTTCGGAGAATTGAGTGAAGCTCATCAAGTACTGATAAATAAAATGTTGGATAATAACCGAGTTTGACTGAAAAAAAAAA